TCATGACCTCTTAAGATGGTGTTGTACTATCAAGCTGAAGGTACTTACTCCAGAACAGAGAGTTGATAGCATAGACTGCCGTCAGGTGCAGTTTGGCCTGGTCCAGAGCCTCCAGCTAGGAGATAGTGAAATTATGTAATACTTTAGTAAATCACTCAAAGTTCAGTCTCGGTCAAAGACCTCGTACAAAATCCTGTACCACATTATCAGTGCAATGATGCAATCATTCATATTGATAAATTTGAGTTCGGCTTTATTCGGATTCACAATTAGCATGGCAATTTTTAGCCGTGGCGACTCTTGATTCGGGCTTACATTGCATTACCCTCAGCTGAGGGTAATGCAATGTAAGCCACGGCTAGGCAATTTTAACTCCAAAATGGTTAATGGTACAGAGCTATTCTGGACAAGGTTAGGTCTGGCAATAATATTTGTATGTCCTAGATATACCTGTTCGTCGTGTTGTACGTCTCTTCACATCACATCTCGACGTACAGAGAAACGACGTACGCCGAAACTGTATGTCTGTTGGTAGATGAAGTTTACGAACCTTTTCCAAGTCCTCCACTGCCATCTGTAGGAAAGGTTTGAACACATCGTCCACTGCTTTTAGAGAATCGCTAAACGCCACCAAACCGGCGTGGATTTCTGAAGGATAGTCTTCTTGTTGCTCTGTCATGTTCGCAGACCTTTGAACTACCCGGTATCGACAACACAGGTCTCTTTCCTATCAGACTACCAACAAAAACATGTGCTCACATGCACGCTCACAGCTGATCTCCTTCCGTCTCCTACTGCGTGTAAACGCATCGAACCGCAATATTTCTAACAAAACAAAATCTTTCAGATAAAATGTAGTGGTTCATACCTTCATAAAATTATTTTAGTTTTTCAGTGAAATATTGAATTAAAAAAAGAGAAATCGGCTAACGTTACTAACAGCTTAACTGTTAACGTTACATTCCTTGTCATTATGCCGCTATCAATATCTGACCAATTCCATTTTTTTCGTTTATTAAGTATCGAGTAGATTAAACATGATATATGAATCTATTGAGAAGAAAAATCACTTATAAAGCATAAATAATAAGTTTAGCCTTACATCTTGTAACATATAGCATTTAAAGGAAACTAAAAAATACTAGCATCCCCCATCAGAGTGATGGTATGACCTGTTACGTCATGCGACACGTCATACGTAGTTCCGTGATCAATATCAGCACAGGTGGCGGCGATATTTCCAGGTACGTGGCTCTTGCCTTTTTCTCCCGATATATCCCAAATTTTCGACGTAATATCTTAACAATCTGGGCACCTGTTGGTTTGCATTAAGCTGTATCAAATCGCGTGTACATTTATGTACATTCCAGGTATT